GCGGCGAACGCGGGCGGACGGAAGCCGCGGCGGCGGCGGCGGCGGCGGCGGCGGCGGCGGCGGCGGCGGCGGCGAGACGGTTGCGGCGGCACATGCGCACGACTCGCTTCCTACTGCGCAGGGGGCAGGCCCCCGTTGCCTCACCACCGCCCTTCAGCAGTAACACAGCCCTCGCCTCGTGGAGGAGAGTTGACGAAAGGACGTCCCCAAATTAATATCAGAAATAGGCTCCTAGGCCCTCAAGACAGTTTTCGTGCCCGTGAAGTGATACCAGTTACTTTTTTTATGCCTTAATTTACAAAATTGCACCGTTAAGGCCTTCTATTACATTGGTGGTGGCTATCCCTCTCCGTGCGAGTTGTCAGCAATGTACGAATTCGAGTCCCAGAATGAAACGATTTGCACTTTAAAACTAAGTGAGTAATGTTCGCCATGTAGATCCAGGTAATAATTATTACTAGCCTACCCGCGCGAAAACTATCGCATGTAGAAAGTTCAATTCCCTCCTTTCCTACAAAGCCACTTAGAGGGAAAATATCTTCAAAACTTGTTCTAATAAAATTTGAGATACCGGCCCTCTCCCAATTCCAGATATATGCGCATTGCCTGCCTCATCAATACCTCGGAGTGAGATATACAAAAGGATCCAACCCTCAAAAAGAAATCTTTATTATTTCTAAACCGTTTTCCCTTCTACGGATGAAATAATCTACCTCAGCAAATACGATGTTGCTTAAAAGCTGGAAGTCCCCGATGCCTGTACATATAATTTACACGTGTGTATATGATATATAAATATTAATAATATTATAAAATTGAAATGTTCCCCACCAGTCTGGCAGGGGCGTAAGTATCCGGTTCTGTCGCTACCATGCAATAGCAGCGCGTATTTTGTGTGTAGTGTTAAAAAGTATGCAAATCAGTGTTTTTTGAAGACGCGTTAGCATATTTCCACTAAACATCTGAATTGGTATGTAATTTTCCGGATGATAACAACGGTGATCATAGTGAACATGGGGCGGTAGGAGGGGCAGGGGCGAGGTCAACGAGGCAGCATAGAGCGAGAAGTCTGGAGAGGAGCGAGGTGGTTTTGGGCAGTTCGTTGTAAAGCAGGGCAAGCCAGAGCGGGGTAACAGTAGTATCGGCAAAATTTATTATTTTTCTTGTCTGAATAGATAATTATGATAAATACTCGGTAAAGTAAAACTGAATTAGAATTTAAACTCATTGCGCGATGTAATCGCACGGGTTGCCATTAGTAGGTATTAAGTTTTTATTTTGTAGATTACAGCGCGTTGACAAAAACTCAACTCAAGGCGAGCGACGTCAAAAAGTGGATTTTAAGGCCCTAATCGCGCACTGCTTTCGATCTACGCATGATCGATGTCAAGAAATACATCGTTAACTGGGCCGTGAGTTGTGAGATTGCATTTGATCCTGCCTAATTTGGATGCGTTTTCAACAAACTTTAATATTTCTAAAGAGGAGGTGCTATTCGTCACTTTTGCAAATTATCGTACTTTGGATATTAAATTTTTTAGGGTGGGTTTGATACAAGAACCGAAAACCGAATCGATACTAATTAAATATGGGATTAGTTGAAACCTTGCGAATATACCACACTTGTTACTTATTTAAAAAAGGGAAAATAGCTTCAAAGTGGACGGCCCAAACTTCATTTCAAACCAACATTTCTGACTACCCTTGTTACGTGATAAAGGTACCACCCATATAAGTAGTGGAACGTTCAAAAATGCCTCATTTTGTAAATTACAGAATAACTTGATGTCCCAGAGCTGTATAAATTTGGGCCTAAAACGCAAGTCACAAGGTTGAAACTTCCAGAGTGGTACGGATTGCTTGCGCGCCTGTTTTCCGAGTATCGTGTTCCACGAAATGATTGCGTCATAAATCCGTGTGATGGAGGTCTGGGCAAGAAGGAATACCCTGTCCGGCAGTTGCACGCAACGTAATCTTTCTTATATAGATCTTTATATAGATGTCTCGGACTAAATGTTACAATCTTCTAGAACATGAAGGGGGAAGATTCTTGATTTGACAATGAATATGAAGTGGGAAATTTCACATTACAAAGTTACACTTAAGACAGTTGCCCCTGCTAGATAGAATACTCATCAGGCACTGATGTTTGTCTGATCACATTCTGACGCACAAAGATTTGTGTACCCGCCGAACACCAAAGCACAATGCGTTGCCTACCCTTCAGGGGTAAATGTCACAAGTGTGATATGAATTTGTTATACGACCCCTCCTACTGCACGTCCTATTTATTCTGAGAAACCTCCATGTAGAAAGTAAAGGCAATAATAATTGTTAAGATCATTTGACAAATTAATTTTATATCCATATTATTAATTGCAAGTGTGCGCTGAAACGAAAAACTATGCAGCTCCCCAAGAGAAACGTATTTATTATTTTGTTAAATACTCATGAACTCGAGGAAAAGCGAAAACAAATAAACAGTTTCAATTTGGACTGAAAGATGCAATTATTTTAATGTGTTAAGTCGCTTATTTACATACTATGCGTAATGACTGAATTCTTACATTCAGTGAGTCAGTGCTTGTAAGAGCGGAGCTTGTGCAACAGCAAGGCTCCAAGGATGAGAACGGCCGCCATTAAATAGTTGCTATTCACATGTGTTATGGAATAGCAAATTTTATATCCTTGCTATGTGAACAACCAGTTTTGTTGAAATTATTTGGCAGGACTAGTTTAAGAAATAAGGAATAACTGATTAGATAACATCGTATGAGACGAAAACAATATTACCATTACAGGCTATATAAGTGCCCAGAAGACTTTTAGTTCACTACGCCTTGCCGGCAGGGGGAAATCTACCGTATGGGTGCGTGCGTATGGATGAATGAAGTACCACAATCAGTATTGCAGCACACTTAATTATTCATTTCTCATCATCCACATCGATTGAAGCATATCAGCTTTGATGCACATCCTGCTTATTGTTTAGTCGATAGCGTTGTCCATGAACTGACAGATATGCGTTTTTTTAAGAACCAATTTTTCGGAAGGTACGACCCACTAAGGTGTATTTTGACTACACAACGTGTTAGCAATACATGGAAGCAAGGATATTTAAAATGCTTATCTGGTTAGATGAAATTATACGAGGTGAATGTGGAGTGTCCGGTGGCGAGTTTGAGCATTTATAGAAAAAGTTCAATTGTAAATGTTAGTAACAATTACTATAAACTACTGAGTTTTGAAAATCGGGTATGTTCTCACAGTTCTGCGTACTCTGTCCATTAAGGATTTGACTGTTGTGAATATTAGTGTTTAATAGTGATTCTTGACAAGGGATGGGTTGATATAATTGCTGAAACAAACATTTTTACTTGACGGAGATATTCAAAATAATTGTATAAACTAGTATAAAGTATGCCTATAAGAGTTAAGATGTTAACAAACACCAAAGAAATGCAAAGTAAGTTTTAAAACATTTGTAAACTTCCACTGTAATACATTTATCTTAAGTTTCAATAAATAATTAGTTTTAAAGAATATTAGCCATAATAATATGGCTACCACAATAGCGGGTTCGGTGGTATAACGTATCGTTCGGTGGTTAGCGTATCGAGGTGTTACACCTAAGTTTGCAGTTTCAAACCCGATCGTTAATTTCTAAGGGCAAAAAGAAACTTTTTCGTACACTTTCCTTCGGAGGGGAAGTAAAGCCGGCTGACCCATGTTGTAGATTTACTGCATGTAGAAGCTCCTCAAGCCTAAAATAACCCTCAAGCTACTAAATTCAAATCGCCTGGTTCGTCGCCCCAGTCATGCCTTCTTTCTCCGCTATGAAAGGAGCGTAGCGAAATTTTTTGTTGTCAGACGGAAGAGCGGGCCTGATGCCCCGAGTTTCGCCTCGTAAAAATATGGCTTTAACTAAACTGTGTGCGTTCTTTTTGGTACGACAGTGCAGCGCGTAGCGCGGTGCGGAGGAAGTGAGAGTGGCGTGTGCGCAGGGACGGCGGAGGCGCCCGTGCGGTCGGGCGTGCGGCGGGTGGCGGCGCAGCTGCACTCCTCGCTGGCGGGGAAGGGGCTGGCGCTGCTGGTGAACCACGGCATCCCGGAGGAGCGGGTGAGTCACGCGCGCGAGCACGTGCGAAGGCGGCATTCGGCGAATCCCGAGTGGTGTGAACGAGTTGCTTGCGATTCGCCGAGGGCCTAACATTCGGCATTTGCCCTACCCACTGTGTGTCGATCTTTAAGGCGGCTTCACACGCGCGGCATTCGGCGAATCCCGAGTGGTGTGGACGAGTTGTTTGCGATCCGGCGAGGGCCTAACATTCGGCATTTGTCCTAGCCACCGCGTGTCGATCTTTAAGGCGGTCACGGTCACAAGATTGACACGCCGGCGGGTCGGCGCTCAGCGAATCCCGAGGAACCGTTTGCCGAATCACGAGAATTGTGGACAGGCAACATTCAGCGAATCCTGAGTAGTGTGGACGGTTTGCTTGCGATTCGCCAAGCATCGACCCGCCAGTGTGTCGTTCTTTAGGATACGTCAAAGAGAGCGAACATTTGCCGAATACATCGGCTGTTCGGGATTGGGCGAGCAGTAGCTCGCTGCTCGGTGAATGCCGAATGTGTGGCGCCGCCTTAAATTATAGCTAAACGAACGTCGTCAGCAGGAAGTCTGCCGCCGTGGTGGCGCGTGGTCAGGTCTAGGCAGGTGTAGACGCCAGGGGGTGAAAGGTTTGAATAGAAATTGAGACTGAGCGAAATGCACCTCGAGGTAATTTGGGAACTTCCGAGCATCCAAGGGGATTGGCGCCCAGAAGGGCGTGTAAGAGCGGCGGTCACGTGGCGGGAGCCGCCGCTCGGACACAAAATGAAGTCGCCTCTCACGTGGGTGGAAGGTATTCAAGGCAGCGTGCCAGACGCGTTGGGTTTTCAGCTGTGTGAAAACGTCGCGCAAACGCACGAAACTGGCGCCCAGGGCGGTGCAGAGGGGAGTTATGGTCGTGGGGCGCCTCATATGTTGGGGAGTCATTGTGGAACAGTTGCTCCACGCGTGAGTGCGGTCTCACAGTGTTACGCCATGCGCGTGTCTCGTTGAGAAGTTGCGAGGACCATGCGTATAAGGAGCGCTCTTCAATCGGATGAGGATCGCTCCTGCGATCAGGGGAACGCGTCTATCAGAGCTGTAAACAACTGTTCAAAGTATTTGTAAATACTTCTTTATTTATAAACCTGTAAATGCGAGCTTGTGTGTGTTTGCTGTTGGCTTTACACGTCACACGTGGAGCACGTGCGTCCGAAGGCAGTCGCGGTGCTCGGCTTGTGTGCGAGACCGGGCCGACACCGACGGTTGAGGCCTGCGTCTCGGTTCGATGGGTCACTGTTTGAGTCCCGCTCAGGGACGACTGTTCACCCGTGTGGTGTGGCATGGTAGGCTTCCCAACTCACCATTCGAACCGTATCCTCTCCATCCTCGCCTGCCTCACTCCCGAAACATCACTCGCGTTATCAAAATTAATTGTTTTCTATTATGCATTCCCATAGTTGCGACCCTGACAATCGATGTAAAATCCCGTTTTAAATTGCCGTTATATAGCAGAACAGACAGTAGTTGTTGTTGCTTTTTGTGTTACTTCCTACATTCGAACGCGTAACATTACGCGGGTTGATGAGTTAGAGTTCTCATAATTTTCCTTCTATTAGGAAACAGTTTTCCTTTGTTCTTTCTCCGTTTTTCTTGCAAATGCTCTTTTTTACAACCTATCTTCTTCGTAACTTCGTGACTCTGTTCTCGTCCCTATGTGCTACATAATGACTACATTTCTTTTTTCACTTCTTTTCGAATTACGTATTATTTTCATATTTTCCTTTTGTATTTGGTTGTCTTTGGCAGCATTTTTGAAATCTTCGTTTACGGATATTTGCAAGTAGTTTACTGCTCATAAAAGCGAACAGAAAATCCATTCATGGAGTGGAAAATCCATTCACTATTGGTGGCTGATTTCTCCCGCGAGATTCATTCGTTGCAAGTAAGAAATGGCCAAATTCAATCCAATCTCGTAAAAGAACTGGTTTCATTCTTTCTTGGTCTGTGGCCCTCAGCAACCATGTACGCTTCATACAGTGATTGATTTTTATAGAGCAGCTTCACACGATGTTATTATTATTTATTTTATTTATATGGCTTTTCATTTGAGCACGGTACATTATATGAAAAGGCTAATCGTTTCCAGTCTGCTGAAGGTGGGTCAAAAAAATTCCCTACGGAGTTTTCTTTTCAAACGATGATTTCTGTGAGGATACTGTTTACCAAGTTTGAAGTGGGTAGATAACGGTATTCGATATATTTTATTATAGAGTTTTTAGGATAGAATAGAGAAATGTATAGTGATGGTGGTGATACCAGTGCTTGATGGAGTTGGGAATTTGGGATTAACCAGGGTGATTTTGTAATTATTATTAGGAATTTATTTTGGTTTGGACGTTTGAATTTTGCAAATATTGGTTTGGATGCTGCGGCCTAGTCTGGTCGTATCATTGTTGGGTGGCGATGAATGGATAGGTGTAATTGAAGTGGGGATTATTTCTTAAGTAGGGTATATAATTGATGTGTTCTTCCAGTTGCTAGAACAATTCTGTCCACGAGGTTCGCTCTCCGCGTGAGTCGTCTGTCAGATAATACTCCTAGGCATTTAGCTGTGGCGTTCGGGGGAATCAATGCTGTTATGGTTTTGATAGGCGAGTGTGGGTGTGTCTACGGGTCTTGAAGCATTAATGTTTTTCCTTGACTCTTGCTTGCATTGTTCTGTATGCTTTTTTGTGCCAAATGGGTAAAAATGGTGAGATGAATTTGAAGATCGCCTGTTACTGTTCCTATGCCCCGGTTTGTGGAGTGTATTGCTGTGTCATCTGCAAAGGTGGATGGATGTTGGATAGTGAAATGGATGTTGATAGTGTGGTGGGTACGTCGGCGATGTTGATAGTAAATAGGGCTGTGGAAATGCTCGAACCCTCTGTAACCCCTGATTTGATGGGATATAGTCTTGAGAGAGCGCTGGGAAGACGCACTGAAAATTAACGTTCATAAGGAAAGCATCTATATTGCGTGTTAGGTACTGAGGAGTGCCAATGTTGAGAGGCTTGAATATCTATCCTGAGTGCTATACTGTATCAAACGCTTTTGCGATGTCAAGCTGCAGTTGTATGTTTATGGTTATGAAATCCTTCAATAGTCCTCAATCAATCGTAAGAGTTGCTGGTATGTAGAAAGCAGAGGTTGGATGCCAAACTGATGTGGTGCTATTATATTTAGTAGGGTGAGGTAATTATTAAATCTAGTAAGGATGCATTTTTAAATAATTTTTGCTTAAAAGAGAGTAAAAAGTTGGACTGTAGCTTGTTGCTTGTTGCTTTTTTTTGGCTTGACAATGGGGATGACATGTGCATAATACTGTAAGTTAGATTTTCGGAAAGAAGGATTAGGAACGAGAAAGAGGCAATCCATTTTCACTTCCTTAACTCGTTGCAGCATCAATAATTTGTAACGACGTACAGGACACCTATGTACATTACGTTCATTTGGAATTTTCTTGGGTATTATACCGGAAACAAGTGCGCGCCGCGGCAATAAAAAAACAAACGATGAGATTATACGGGTAAAATGCCTCTGAGTGGATGAGACAGGCGTCATTCTTACTTTTCATTGATGAAGAATACTATGCCTGGTTGGAGGAAATCCCCGCAAGTCGTAGGTCGACGCCGGATCTTGCCAGATAGTGGGGGAAGATCACAGCCAGCTCCTGCGATGAAACCATGCACTTCATTTACGGGTCTAGTGACAGTGGTCGTTGGTGTTCCCGGGATCACTAATCAATCAATCCAACGACCGGTTGTTATGATCGGTAGTTTTTTTTCTATCATCTGTACTATTCGAACTATCAAATATAACAAACGAGGGAAAACCGTGCGCGATCTTTCCTTCCCCATCCTTGGCACTTTTCCTCCTATACACTCCCCTCGTGCGCATCTGTGCACTACATTCCGCCACAGGGAGACCAATCGGGCGCTTAGACCGCACCACACTGAAAGACATCCTATAGGGAGTAACCCCTCACGCCGACTAGTAGGTCAACGCTACAGAATATCTCGCATCTCACCCCTCCCCTGCTCTCCAGGAGGGGAGGGGTACCGTCACCTCGACGTATGTACTATGCACTACACTTAAGGGAATAATGACTTGATGCCCCGGGAGAATCAATCAATCCGAATGATGTCCAGGATGTGGATGCAGCGACCAACAGCGTAACCCCCGAGTCACTTAGAAGTTTCGCGGTGGGTTACATGGTTACGTAAATGCAAGAGAAAGTGTTAGGTAAAGATAATAGCTCTCCCCAACTGGAACCAAGAGTCCTCTTGGTTTGTTTGTTTTTTTCACTATAAGGATGGGTTTATGAAGGTAGCCTTAGGCTATCGCAGCATTGATTTTGGCCAGCGAGACGAAGTGTAATGGGGACGTGTGCTTGGCTCGGCAGCTCCGGGCCGTGTACCGCGCGCTGGACAAGTTCTGCGAGCTGCCGCCGGCGCGGCGCGCCGCCTACCTGCGCCAGGCTGACGCCGGGGACAACCACGGCTACGTGCCGCCTGGCTGCGAGCGGTGAGTGCAGCGGGCGCCCCCGCCAACCCCTCCCCCCTCCCACTCCCCTCCCACGCAGCGGCGTATTCTCCAAGGGCTCCTTCCCATGGCGCCGCGCTTCCTTCAAGCTAGAGAGCCCTTCCGACGCCGCCACTGTCGCAGCCACGGCCGCACCGCCGCCCGCCGTGGAAGGGAGTGGGTTCTGCAGGGGTATGTTTGGCCTACCCTTCGTCGACGACGAACGGAGGGACTACAGCAGGTAAACCGCAGCGACCGGCGGCACAGTGAGAAGGCTCCCATTTAAAGCTGTGTACTGCTAGCCGTGGCGCGTATGCCCTCCTCCGCTTCGCGTGGCGGGAGTTCGGCGTCGGCTGATGCAGCAGCCGCCACCCGCTGCACGTTGGAAGGGTTCCATTCAAACTAATGCTCTGCTACGCGCTGCGCTGCTCGGAAGCGCACCGCCGTCGCGAAGTGGGAAGGGGCCATAAGGGCCCCTTCACACGTCGCCACCGCGGCGCGCTTCAGAACGCCGCGGCTCGGAGCAGAGCATTGGTTTGAATGGAGATACTCCCACGTGCGGCGAGTTTGCACCGTTGCGGCGGACTCTCGCTACGAGTCACCTCTAGCAGAACACAGCTTCAAATAATGGTATTCCCACTGCGTCGCCGGTCGCGGCGTTTTACCTGAAGCGGTCCCTTTGTTCATCGTCGTCGGAGGGTCGGCGAAACCTACTCCAGCAGGGCGGACGGCGGTCCGGCGATGGCGTGTAGCGGTGGCGGCTGCCGCTTATCGGAAGGGACACTGTACCGGCTTTTAGAGAATTATTTTCTCTAGCATACTGGTTCCCAAAGCGTTTGGGTGGGCTATGGTAGGATCCAAAAAGCCGCTAATGCTCCGAGCTTCATGTTAAATTATAGAATTTTAATTAGACATTAAAGAGTATAAGGGGTGTACACTTCGAAATTTTTTGAGAGTTTCGTACATAACGCAATTAATAATATAAGTATTACATGATATTTTTTCAGCACGCATACATTTAACATTTAAGAACTAAATTTTAAAAATTTAAAATTTTGTACACATGAAATATTATATTTTAAGGCTACTCTCCATGACAGTCCCAATTATTCAAGTAAAACAAAACATGTTTTCGTAGATTTCACTCCTAATTGGATTCACGTTGATAGAATGTCAAAATTTCATTTTATAAGAAGCCCAACATGAATTTGGCCAAAAAGTGGCAAGAATTTGCAGAAAACATTGGAGAGGTAACAGGTAAAGGATTGACAATAAAGAAATTGGTAACATAGTTGTTAGGTTATGTTTGTTTATGTTCATAACGAAATCTGATTTATTAGTCATCGTACAGAGCCAGAAAATCAACTACTAATTGCATGATGAAGATTGTTTCCTGTAGATTC